CCCCGGGCGGGGGGGGGCGGTGGTCGGGGAGAGACTGTGAGAGATGTTATTCCTAGGCCTGTAAATGGACCCCGAGAGGGAGAAAGAGGAGGAGGGTCGGAATCCCCAGAAGGCTAGCCACGTGATACCGCTTAAAGGACGAGCCCCTGACTCTTGTGAAACGCGTGTTTGGTTCACGATGGAAGAGCCTGGCTCTTCTTCGGCTGCTTGGCTCTTAGGCACAGTTAGCGCGACAAGCAGTAGCCTGTTGGGTTCTGGGTAGTGTTTCTGCGGTATTGGGGGAAAGTTGCTGGGTGACCTTGGGCCAGTCACACCACTCTCAGCCTAACCTGTTGTGATGATAAAATTGGAGGAGAGCAGAATGGTGTAAACCACTTTGAGGCCCCAATGGGGAATATTATTGAAGGAAAAGTTATTAAAGAATAAAAAGATAGGAGGAAGGAAAAAGAGCAACACATTGTAATACAGAGTATAGAAAAAGATGGGAAAAGAGAATGAGGATGTGCCAAAGTATAAAATATAAAGTGGGTATTTGGAGCAGTATAATGCTAAAATACATTACCATTTTTGTTGTTTGTAATTAGGTAATTGCAGTACAGTTTCTTCCAGTAAGTGCATGAGCTTGTTTTTAGGATATTGGTAACTAAGGAAACATTTTATATCATTGCTGTTCTCTTGTAAGCATGTTGTTTTGCTAGCCTGGGAACACACTAGAACAGCATCTCTTGGTGAAGCAGGAAACACATTACTACTAGCAGTCCCTTTTTTCTTATGTAGTCTGGAATGCAGTTCTCTTTCAGTTTGCCAAGGCTTTGGACTGCTGTCAAATGCTGCCAGAACTATTCCCCCATCATTATCAGCAGTTCCTAATGTTCTGCCTTTGTCATGCTCTGAGCATGATATGGAAACAGAATGTTGTAAGTGTGCTGCTGCCAAGAAGGGTGGGGAGAGACCGCTATCTATTCTTTGCCTCCAAGTCTCTTCACTGGCCTCTTATCTGACCATGGTAGCGCCTGCTTGTTCTGGCTCTTCTTGGGTCAGAAAAGTAGTGAAGATGCCAATTGATGCATGTAATGTTCTTTTCCTTCTTAAGCAGTGCCATATTTTTCAAAGCAAGGGGAGAGAGTTGTGGCAGTATAGGGTATGGTAACAGTGCGGAGGGGAAGAAATGGAAGGGGGTTGGGATCAGGCTAGATAGGGGTAGAATAAAGAGTGAGGAGACAATGCCTTATCTCTGAATGTTTTAAAATGTACTACTTAGCCGATATAGGCTTTCTTTTATAAGTGCAAGAAGTGCCTCTTGAAATGATCAGATAGATATATACACCACCTTTCTCCTCATTGGGGACCCACAGTGGCTGATACTGTTCTCCTTCTCTCCCATTTTATCCTCACAACAGCCCTGTGATGGTTAGGCTGAGAGGGTGGTGCGTGAGTCACCTAAATTCACCCACCAATCGTCCTTGATGGTGCGGGATTTGAATTTGGGATTCCCAGATGCTGTTCTGACATTTTAACCACTACACCATACTGGCTCCTGGATTGGACAGGTTCCGAGCAGAATGCTGTATTCTGTGATATTACAGTGTTAAATCACGTTAGTGGAGCAGCAGTGTATAAGTGTTCCATTTTAATTCTGCCCTCTTAACACCCTTTGAATTGTTATCACTGGCTTACCCCACTGGCCTCATAGCTAAACAGATAGTTGAATTTGGGTGCCCTGTATCCAAACCCAAGATTTCAGCACTCTATCGCACTGGCACTGAGCTAGCTATGTAGAATACTAAAGGAGAAAAGTAAAACCAAAAAATGATGATAAAAATTAAATTTTAGAATCAGAATTTGTTTTTGCAGATCTGTGACAGATTTTGACAGTCCTGGAAATTTTAAAAATCAAATGTGCATAGTTACGGTGTTATAATGGTTAATATGTTGCCACTATGTTGTAACGGTTAGAGTGTCAGACTGGGGTCATCGAAACTTAAGTTCAAACCCTCACTCTCCCATGGAAGGTTATTGAGTGACTTTGGGCTGGTCACACAATCTCAGTCTAAACCTATCTCACAGGTTGGTTGTGAGGATAAAATGGAGGAGAGGAGAATGATGTTAAGCACTTCTGGGTTTACATTGGGGAGAACGGCAAGATATAAATGAAATAAATATGTGTACTTACGAAGGAATAGAATGATCAAAACCATTTTGGTGGATTTGGAAGAGAAAAGTAATGTCTTTTTTCTTTGGATTCATCAGTATCCATGATTAATGTAAACCCAAATCCACGTGGAAGAGAATATTGCTGATCTGATCCTATAAAAATTTCTGTGTGAGGAGAGCTGTGGTCAGTTAGGATGTCCATAATTTCCTTAAGGTCACCACCATTACTGATTTTAGTTGCATCACATAGTAAAATTAATGCCTATAAAGAATGGAAGAATCCAGAGTTGTTTTTGCTTAGTCTATACACAGTTACCAGATGATACTGATCTGAGTCTGTTAGGACATCCATTGTACTGTATGTTCCATTATGTGCAATTCTAGATTCTTGGACAGTTATATTGAAGCATTTATGGAGTAATGTGGCCACTCCTCTTCTTTTGCTGAAGTTCCCTTCCCCAGACATTGCTCTCACCCAGCTCTGCTGAAGTTTATTGCAGTTTTTATTATCAGTGTGAGTCCCTTGGAGGAATACAATCTCTCTATTAAGTTTTTTAAAAAGAAGTTTATTGCAGTTTTTATTATCAATGTGAGTCCCTTGGAGGAATACAATCTCTGTATTAAGTTTTTTAAAAAGAAGTCTTAAGTATATGGGTGTGTAAATTAGGGAATCTAAGTCCCTTTACATTCCATGTCATTATATTCTGATTTGCAGTGGTATTAAGTCTTTCAATGCACCCCACATCAAATATTTCTATTTCTAATCTCTAGTATGCATACTGAGTTACCATTACATGAGTTGGGCTTATTTATAAAGGAACCTATTCCATGTGAATCTGAATAACTAAATCCACCCACCCATTCCTCTTTTGTCTGCGTCTGAGTTGGCTCCGAATGTTCAACATCACCAGATACTCATTTACAATGTATAATAACTTACTTTCAGAGTATAAGTATTTTCATTATATTTTCCACTTTGCCTGACTAGAAGAAGGCAAAGTATATGTTGTTCAGGTTTAATTGGCAAAATGTGTATTCTGCACAAAACATGTTTGGGATGTTTTATTTCATTCCTGTAGCTCACAGGTGAACAACTAAAGATCTTCTGCAACTAAGAACAATTCTGGAACTTCTATATTAGTTTCTTTCCTCAGAACCCCCTGGTAAAAAAGGATCTTGTTCAAAATAGACACAAGTAGTGTGATAAGTTTGGGCAAGTGTGGAGAAGTACAATTGTTTCTATGTATCTCTGTGTGAGTTATAATAAAATCAATTGGAACCTTTTGCTTAGTGTTTGAGAATGTATGTGGCGTGAGCATATGCTTGCAATTTGCTAAATGACTACCAAGTAAGAATAACTTGAAATATATCAGAGTATCTGTTAGCAATCTGTAACTCTTGAGTGTTTGTAATCAAGGTCAGTTGAAATTATTAGTACTTATAAGCAAGTGTTTAGAATTTCAACCTTAGATGAAGAAACCAGTGGTCAAAAACAACAACAACATACAATATAGCATCCAAATTGACCGAGTATTTAGTATGAGAAGCTTAAACAGAGAAACAGATATGCCAGTTTGGTGGCTTTTCAGTTCTATCGATGGAAGAGGTCTCGTCTCATTGCTTCTCTTGATTGTTATTCTGCATTCTGAAATCCTGAATTTGGGTTTCACTTTAGGCTAGGGCTGGAGAACAGTTTTGGTCTAGAGCTTAATAATGGGCAGTTGAAACATCAGCATTAAAGGAGGGTGAATATCCTATATAAATTTCTCTCTTATTCTTAATATAGGAGGCCATATTGAAAGAAGAGTGGATGTAGTTGGTTTACAACTCTAAATTTCCCACCCACTGTCCCCAGTTCATCTGTATACAACTAGGAAACAGCTAAGGCAATACAGCTCTTCAGTAGTTTTGCATTTCCAGAGGTTCACAGGAC